CGGCCCGGCCCGGCCCGGCCCGGCGCCTCCCCCTCCAAGGCTCAGGGCCCCAAGCCCGGCCGCTGACCGGAAACAAAGCCTCGGCGGCGGCCACGGCAGGCCTAGAGCGGGCTGCGCCCAAGCGCTTTACGGAACGCCGAGTCCCGCACTGGGCAAAGGCGCCAGGGTCCCCAAGAGCCTTTAGAGGTCGCCCTGTCACAACCCCTCGGTCCCCTCCACCTGTCTCCCCGCAGCCCTGCGCATATGGAAGCTTCTCGAAGGACACGGGAGTGCAGTGCCCTAGAGACGCCCAGTAGCTGGAGCTTCTTGCCCCAAGCCACCCGCGACAAAGCCCGGCGCCCCGCGACCTTGCCCCACCACGCCGCCCGCCGAAACGGCGCCATACCTGTTATAGTCCGCAGAACCACCAGACATGATCCGAAGAACCGCTCAGCGCCCGACTGAAAAGACAGCCGCACCGCGCCACCCGCCTTTTATAGGCTCGCGGCCGGAACCCGTTTCTCGCGGAGGAATTTTCTCGTCTCCCGGCGGTCAGCCACAAAATCATGATCCTGGGGCTGCTGCCTCAGGTCAAATCCCAAAGCAAATCGCTGAGAAAAATTCAAACGTCGTACGTTCTCGATAGCATAGGAACGCTGCAAATCTGGAGGCCCGGAGGAAGCCCGGGACTCTTTGCTCTGAGCGGAAGAATATTGCAGCAGCGGTGAACAGACCGACGTCCCCGCCCGCCCTGCTCCTACGGGGTTTCCGCGTCCTCGACGCAGAGGCGGGTGGCGGAAGCGTGCGGTGCGCGGCTCGGGGCGGCTGGGCTCCCCGGACGCCCGAGGGGCGGCGGCTGGGGCTGCCGGCTCTAGCTCCGGCTCTGGACACCCGCGGCGGTGCCCAGGGTGTGACGCCCCGGCCGGGAAGGCTGTCGGCCACCCGGGCGGAGAGAACGCCTCGCTGCCAGCTGCCCCGGAGCGCGGCTGCCCTGCTGTTCCTCTGGGGCTCTCGCGCGCTCTTCAGAATAATGCTAAGGATTTTAACCTGCAGGTTAGCTAGTGACCCGTGAAATCATTATTATCGTTTGCAAATGGGATAGAGGCTAAGGACCCGCAGTGGTCCTTGCAGCAGGAAGTTAAACGGTGCTTCGGGCCGATTTAGCAGGGTGCCCCTTTTGGACTGGACAGGCTTGCATGCTGGTCTCTTTGGGTTTTTGTTTTTAAGTCTGAGTTTTAATTACCTTGTATGTGAAATCCTAATTCCTTGAAATTCAGGCTAATAGCCCCTGCCTGGCAAGCTCAAAAGACAAAACAACCTGCTGCCTAAATAAACTGCATTACCTCTTAAGCTCCAAGTTTTGTACTAGGAACAACTCAGGCCCCTTACTAACAAAGAATATTTTTATAATCATTGACTTTTTTTATTTGTTTTTAACAATTCAGGCTGGCCTTGGGCTTTTTTTTTTTTTTTTTTTGCGGAACCGGGGATTGAAGTCAGGCCCTTGCGCTTGCCAGAGAAGCGCTTATCCCACTGAGCCATCTCCCCGGCCCCTTGAGCTCACTTTGTAGCCCAGGCTGGTCGGAAATTTGCAGTGCTCCTCAAGTCTCAACATCACAAGTGCTGGGATTACAGGTGTTCACCATTATTTCAAAAGTATCATGCCGGGAACTGTGACAAAAATCAGTACCGAGATAGCCCCTAGTCTAATGATCCTGCCCCTCGTGCACCTCTCTAATGTTCAGAGTGGAGGCCAGGCCAGGCCTTTTCAGAGAATGTTGGTTAGCTGTTGATCTGAGATCTTATTGTTGCATTTAAAAATCACCTAAAAATATCTTGTAGTCTAAGAAACAAAGTACTGAATCAGACGCTAACTACCACTCAGTATCATTTGAGTATTAGGGTGAAATCAGTCACCAATCAACACCTACTTGCTCACTGTTTTCTTCAGGGTTAGCGTTGCCTAACGACTGTATTCCACGAAGTGCTCTGGAATATCTTCTTGAGGAAATAAAGGCTAACACATGTTAAATAAGCTGCTAGTTCTTTGTTTCTTTTGCATTTTAGGGAAGGCTCTACAGGGTGTTCAGGGTCTCATTACTAGATCAGACTCGTAGTGATCTGCCTGTTTACAGCCTCCTGAGAGCTGGGATTACAGGCGTGAGCCACCACGCCCAGTCTCAATTGCTGGCTCAGTGCACACCAGGGGCGGGGCCAGCACCACATGCCCGGGCATCGAACCCCCACCCCTGCACCTGCTTACAGGTGCGTTAATCCGCTGAGCTATTTGGCTAGCCCAAAGTTGCTAGCTTTAAAAACATACTAGAAATCCCATGTGGTAGTGCACACCTGGAATTCCAGCACTCTGGGAGGCTGAGACAGGAGGATGCCAAACTCAAACCCAGCCCTAGCAACTCAATGACTTAGTGAGACCCTGTCTCAAAATAAAATAACAAGGACAAAGATAATAGCTCAATGTGATGACCCTGGGTTCACTCATAAGTGGGGGATGGGAGATAGAAATCCAGTTGTTCTAGGTTTTAGGTCTAATTATTACTTATTAATATTTATTAGTTAGTAAACATGGCTGAGTACCTGTTGTCTCCATATCTCTTTTTTACACATTTGCGAAGAATTGCCTGGAGCTGGGCAGGGGTGGCACTGCCCATGGGCCTCTTTATTATTCAGTTGCAGGAGGAAATTAGAGGACAGTCCCCAAGGCGGCCCACACACTCCCAGACCATTGGAAGGCTGCGCGTGCTGCTTCATCCTTCCACTAATTCATACAACGGAGAACAATAAGGATAAGAAAAGAAATGGGGAAAACAGACCTTGAAAGGGACTGTTGAACTATGTAAGGCCTGCTTCTGAATTCATTTTTCTAAGGTTATTTAATTCCATTGTGTAGCCATGACACATTTTCCTGCCCCCGCCCTTGGTTTTTGAGACAGGATCTAGCTTTGTAGCCCAGCTGACCTTGAATTTAAAGTGATCCTCCTGCCTCAGCCTCCAGAGTGCTAGGATTACAGCTGTGCACCACCACACCTGGCAAGTTTTGTTTTGCTTTGTTTTACACTCTTAAGGCAAAAAGACTAAAAGAGAAGGCTGTTGTTGTCCCTCAACTCAGAAGACCAAAACTGGTTGAGGGCTGGTGGGAGGGTAGCTCAGTGGTAAAATCCATGCTCAGTATGTACAAGGCTCTGGACTAGATTCCTAGCACCACACCCCCTCCCCCAAATTAAAAATTATAACAGGATGTCAAAAAAAAAAAAAAATCAATGGGACCTGAGATAGGATTACTGTGAGTTCCAGGCAAGTCTGGGCTAGAATGTGAGTTCAAGGTCAGCCTGAACTGCATAGTGAAACTCTGTCTCAAAAAGAAAGAAAAAGTCAGTAAGAAGATCTTGTTGCAATGCAGATTCCTGTGATCCGCCCTTCCACCCAGATGTGTTAGGGCTGATCTGAGGTGGGAAGAGCTTTTTCATTCATAAATTCAATCATATTTACCATTTGGGAACAATGTCGCAGTGTTTGTTCTGTGTTCTACAAATCTCTTACAATGCCAGGTGTAGATGCTTCGCTCCTAATACTTCAACAGTACATGCTATACATATGGAAAATGAAGCTATTCTTCCATAAAACCATAGAAATATGGGCTGGTAAGATAGTTCAGCGGTCTAAAGCACCTGCTTGGGCAAGCTTAGGCAGGCACGGGACTGCGGTTCGATCCCTGGCACCACGTGCCACACCAGCCCTGCCTCCGGGGTGGGATGGGCTGAAAGAAAAAAAAAAAAAACATAAAAATAGCCAGGCCCGGTGATGCACACTCGGAACCCAAGTGTCCAAGGAGGCTACACACGTAGTAAACTGCCCAGCTTCGCTCTGACTTGCCCAAGCCTCTGGGTGCTAGACTCGGGCCATGCACCGCCACCCCCAGCTCCAGCTGGGAATTGCAGGCCTTGCCTCTGCTAGTGCAGGAACCCAGAGCCCACCTCCGTCCTCTCGGTGGGAGATACCTCTTTCCTCATTCTTTCATTTTATCTTAGCTACTTTGACGGTCTTTCTGCGCTGCCAGGATGGTCTTCAGGTCCTAGGCTCAGGTGGTCCTGTCTGAGCTTCCCAAGGGCTGGAATTCTAGGTACACACCACAAAGCCCAGGTCCTTATTATTTTATCTTAATAACAACAACAACAAAAAAGATCAGAAGTCAACAGTAAACTGGGCATGGTGGCGCATGCCTGGGATCCCAGCATTCAGGAGGCTGAGGCAGGAGGATCTTGTGACCTCAAGACCAGCCTGGGTTGCAAAGTGAGCTCAAGGCCAGCCTGAGCTGCATACAGAGATCCTGTCCCAAAAAGACAAAAAGAAAAAGAAAAAGAAAGAGTATTATAACTGTACCCAATACTGCATCGTCCTGCGTTGTTGGAGGGAATGTAACATATGGTAGCCACTATGGAAAAGTTTAGCAGTTTCTAGAAAGGAGGAGTCTGATAAGACAGAGGAGAAGGATATATTTGTAGGCCCGGTAGACGCCCCCAGGGCCAGGAGCTAACAGACAAGGGACAAGGAAAGGTAACGTGTTGGCCTAGGCTGCTGCCTTGGCCAGCCTTCAGCCTCTCCTTGCCACAGGCCGGTTCCCGAGGACAGGAGGGCTGGAGGGGAGGGTGGAGCAGAGGTGAGCGGTGGACAGAGGCGAGCGGTGGCTGGAGGGCAGGGGACTCCCTGGTGAGCTCTGGAGCTGGGCAGTGCCTTGGCTGACTGCTTAGCAGGGCAGGTTCTAAGGCTCCCCCCGCCCCGAGTTTGAGAATCCAGTCCCTGTTCTGTGGGCTGGGACACCTACAGCCCTACTCTGACCCTTCCTTGCCTTCAGTCCCGGGAAGATGTTTCCGCTATGGATTAAAATCTCTGGGCTGGCCAGATAGCTCAGCAGACAAAAGCGCTGGCTTAGGCAAGCTCAGAGACCGGGGTTCCATCCCCACCCTTGGGGCGCCCTTAGACAGCCACTGAGACTGGGCGTGGTGGCGAGCGCCTGTAATCCCAGCGCTTGGGAGGCTGAAAACAGGAGAATCACTACGAATCCGATCTACGTAATGACACCCTGTAGACCCTGTACTAAATACATAAAAAATAAAATAAAATAAAAAATCTCCATTTATTTTTCCGAACTCAGGACCTTGCGCCCAGGCAGACGCTGCTCCGCTGAGCTATAACCCGGCTAATGTCTCCATTTGGAATAAGATCTGAAGGCTGACTGTATCTCCTGCCTGCTCCTGAATACTCACTAAAATACAGTAGAGAGGTTTTCGCTTTCGGCAGGCCGCAGGTGGGGTGCGCAAGGATTACACCCAGGCGCTGGAGCATGCGCACAACGGCTCCGTTTAGGCGCTCGGCTGCCCTCCCTCTGAGGCCTTGCTTGGTTTTTTCTGCCTCACACC